CAACGTTGAAACTGTCTTCTTTCTCTGTCAAACATTCAAGTCCACTGAGTCATCTTCGGTATCAACAACAAACACTCCACAGTTCTTGTTTTGGGAAAGAGTTTGCACAAATCAACCATCCAAGATCAGAGAATGTTCACATGAGTGTGCATTCTGTTTTTGGTGTGTTTTATTTTTCTTTCCCCTTTGAGTCTTTGCGTATGGGCTATGAATACTCAGCATCAGGGAAAATACTTTTATCTCCGCTTCAAAACGTCAAACTCAAAGCAATTGAGGGTACACAACCTTTCAGCCTTGGTAATATGGAACATCATTGAGCGGGAGAGAGAGGGAGTGTGTTGGAGGAATGAGAGACTTGGTGAAAATAGACAGAGCGGGCATGTGTTGGAGAGAGAGAGAGAGAGACACAGGGCATGATAGAGGATGGAGCGAGGGGGCTGGCTAAGAAACTAGTGCAATTTGTCTTCATGCAGCCGGCCCCTCGCAGCATCCTGCAGGCCCGGGCTATTTTCCCTGACAATCTTGTTGCCTCCAGTGCAATAGGTGATTTACCTCTCGCCGCGGCACTGACCAACATCCCATTCTGGGACCAGAGCATAGTAAATCAAAAGGCTGGACTTCACCGTTAATCACTAATTAGAGGTTGGACGGTGAAGGTTGATCCTTCCCTGGAGGCTGAGTCCCTCAAGCCTCAAATCAGACAAAAAAAAGAGCAGCCAAGGCCACTCCCTGCTCAAAGTGTTTGAGACGGCTCCAGCAGCCCAGACTCCCATCTCTCCGAGGAGTTTCTCATTCTGGTCGGATTCCAGCCCTCCCTTCCTTCTTCCCTCCCCTCCTTCCTCCATCCACCAGCGAAAGCTGTGATGGAGCCTGTCTAGCTCTCTCTCTGCCCACTTTCTTCTTTAAATTCTCCCCATAGCTTCACACATTTCTATCCCCCCTGGGGATCAGCGGCAAATCGAGTTTGTTGCTCGCAGTGTATACCACAAGCATTAAGATACAAGGGGGCTGTAATTGAATGGTTAGGGAGGACATTATTGAAGGAGATTTTTGTCAGCGTATCCACCCACCATCTCCTCAACATCACGAAGAGCGCCGAGTGGCTGAATGGGGTTGATCGGCTGGCTTTACCGCTATCAGTGTCAGAGGAGGAGGAGGAGGATCTTGGATTAGCCATGCGTGACTGATGGAAGATCCATTTTCCTAATTCTTTACTTTCTGCATCAGTGCGGATTTAATGGGTTATACTTTCCCTGTTCTTATTCTCCTATTTATGGATTTCTTTGGGGTCATCATAGTTTTTTTTGTTTGCTGTCTTAGATTTGCGTTTGCTTGACAACCTTAATTGGTTTGCATATGTTCACTGAGCCCAGTGTATTCTTACAGCATTTAGCCTCACAAGATGACCAGTTTTGAAGAAGCCCTGCAGTTTTCGTTAGGGTTACTGCTTATAGCAGGTGTACTAATCAATAATTGATTCATATCAAAATATGTAATGATAATTAATAACACAATTATGAATCATAAACTCATGAATTAGTGTAAAAAGGTGAAGTTGAGTGATGGCACTCAGCTTCAAACTGAGCAGTAGTCTCTCTCCAGTTTCACTCTGCCCTAACTGCAGTACTTTCAGGTACTGTAGTAAATAAGTTTCTTGTTCTCATAAGTTCACTGCATTTTTCTCTCAGTTGTTGACTGAAACCAGGCATCCGGCCTCTGACCTGTAAAAGAGCAATCATTCAATAAACTGGCCCAAATGGTCGGGATGGGTCCTTAATCGTATTGTTTTTGTACTCCGTGAGTTAATGTCGGTGTAAATTGAGGGTTTGTCACTCAGTACCATTAGTGCCCTGGAGTTCATCCAAACAGTGTCTGAAAGAACTTCATCAGTCGAAGGTTAAAGATTCTTTTTCATTGTCATTATTTTCACATTTCAGCGCAGCATGGTGCCTTAAAATGTTTTCATTTCTTTCCAGTAATTTCTTTTCCCTGTGTCCATGCTGGCTCTCGTATCACTCCTGCTGTCGTGTCTTTATTACAGACTAACAGCTTTTAACCGATCAAACGTGTTCCATCAAATGATCTCTGTCACATTATGATGTCCACAGGGGAAATGTTTCATGATGTTTCATGAAGTCGCTTCATGAAGTTGGTTATTTATTTTCATGTTCCATTTAAACCCCTCCTTTAAAATACAAGTGACGGGTTATGTTCATGACAAGAGAAATTTCCCATCAGAGCAGGCCATCACAAAATATTGTTATCATCTATTGAAAGAGATTGACTAATGAATGATGTTTGCTTTTTGGAAAATAAATACTGATTGGCTCATTAGTTAATGTTTGAACCTGCTTTCTAATTTGTTTTGTGTGTGTGTGTGTGTGTGTGTGTGTGTGTGTGTGTGTGTGTGTGTGTGTATATAATTTGTAATAATTTAGTATGCACAATGAATTTCTTCCAAATTCTACAGTTAAAAACGAAATAAATGATCTAGAAACCATCTCGCCAAATCAAACCATGGTCGTACTTCACGTTGTCGCGGCTGATAAAGATCACATACACATACATCATTCACAGCTGCTTGGTATTGCAAGGTGGCAGTGGGCACCGCAACCAGGACATCTGCAATATATGATACAGTCTGATGCAACAGCACAGCAATATACACGGACTTCATGGAGCTGATGAGGTTCAATTTTTGTCAAATCTGTCACACAGGTGTTGGCTCAACAGTGTATTAGTATTTGAGGTCAACATTTGGGACTGTTAATATAATTACATTATACTGTAGGGTTTTTTTTTTTATCCCCAAAGCAGTGAGGAAAGTTAAGCAGAAACGTTTTCTATTGTTTTGCAAAGCTGTTTCTGTTATTTGACTCTTTGGGTATACACAATAACAGTAACATCTCATAATGTAAAAATAGCAGCCTGGGTAAAAGTGATGTTCACCTGGGTTTTTTGAACCCAGTGAACCCAAAACTGGTAATATTTCCCACAGGAAGAACACAATTGATCACAGTTTAGAGTTATCTATTCATAGAAAGTAAAGAGAAAAAATGGGAAGTACGAAAAATAGAAAATGCAAATTAGTTTTTTAATTGTGGTTTTCTTTAATCAGTTTATTTAACCAAATCACACCGATTTTTTATTTTTTTTTATCACAACACCGGGACAAAGTATAGTCTCACAAATGACCACAAAGATCAACTCCCCATTAACGGTATAATCATCTAAACTTCGAGTTCTACTCCACTGAGAAGAAATGGCTGTTATTAATCCTGTAAACTTGATGAAATCCTGGCAGAGATTTGGCCGGGATTTCGCAGGGTTTCATTGGGCCAAATGAGAGATTAGAAGTCTTAACTTGGAGCTTCCCACTGAAAAGAGGTCTGAGTTGTCTCACGGCTCTGGGCTGATTGGCCTGGATCTAACAGGCTAGCCAAGTTCACAGTTCAAAGACACAACAAGTGGACTAAAAGCCGCAAATGACCGAGAAGGTTAAAAAGTGCTCAGAGGCCGCTTGTACAGGGCCAGCGGAGTCGTGCTGTAATTGAAGGCGCTCTCGTCCTCATTCTCTGGACTGTGGCAAGTGAACACTGTCTGCTGGACCTGCTCTTTCATTAGGTTTTGTATTTCATGCCTTTAGGAGCAGAACAAATTGAGTCTCTGTTTCCTTTTGCTCTGTTGCTCATTACCCAAAAGAAAGATTAAAAAGCATTCTCTCACAGGCAGCGTTACATAATACCACCAGAGAATGGATGAGTTGTCTCATCAAAATACTGGACACACAAAAGGCGTTAACTAGCCATGCTGACCGCTCACCAACCCACCCTGGCTTTTCTTAATGGCAGCATTTTCTCTCAGTTATGAGTAGAAATGAACCGCAGATCCCACAACCACAACTTCACCAGAAACATGTTTCAACACCTTTTAGGTATTGCAGGAATATTAATTGAGCAAAGCTCCGCCTCTCATCGAGGTCTAGGGCTGTGTTTCCATGGGGAGCCTCTCTGGTAGCACAGTTTTTTTTTTTCTTTCTCCATGATACTTTCATCAGAAGGGATGCACTCCTGGGCTTTTACCACAATGAAGGGAGCCGAGCTTGTTTTAAACTTCTCGTTACATAGCAGCGCGCTTCAGGTGAGGTTTCATCAGACCAGCAGCCGCTGTGCCTCCCAAAAGTGGCTGTTCTGTAGTGTTAGCTAAAAAAAGAGGTACATAGTGGTGAACCCAGGGTCCTTAGAGATACAGATAGAGAAAGTAGAACTTACATTATGGTATCAGTACATAAATTATGCAAAGTATTAGCAGAACATTTAACTTAATTCCTTCCCATTACTTTGCAAATTGCAATAATTCTGCTACCTCAGTGCATCTTTTACTAAAAAAAACCATCTGCTTCCGTAGCACAACAGCAGCTAATTGAGACACTCTCGTCTTCTGTATTCTTGTTTTCAGGCTTCATTAAGAGAAAAATGTGTGCAAAACATGAATTGCAATGTGAGTTCTCTCAGTGTGTTTATTCCACTGAATGATGAGCTGTTACAGTATAGAGAGGTTCACCAAGCTTGGGATGTAAAGTATCGGCGGACTCTATCGTGAAAGGTTTTCTTCCCTTATTCAAGATAACTTGCAAACTAAAAGTTTTACAAAGAACTGGAATTGTCGGCTCTTTTGTTTGGCAGTTTAATTTACTTTCTCGAAACTTGGATTGAGTCAGTATCCTTAATGATGGAACATACTCCAAACAAATAGGGAGCAGTATTTCACCTCTACTGCTGGGTCCATACAATCTAAATACACAGTCGTTGGTTTAAAAAAAAAAACTACTAAGTAACAGCAGGGCCAGACTAAGCCGTCTATGACATAACATCACCACTGTAACCTCTTCAAATTGCCTTGATAATGTTTTTGAATGTTTCCACTAATATTCTTGAACATTGCACCTCAAAGACAATCTGGCTGACATTGTGTTGTTGTTTTTTTCCTCTCGCCAACAGATGTGTACCTGCTCACTCTCCCAGATGACCAGAAAGTAAGCGTCACCACGGTCACCGTCGGCCAGAGCGTCGTGTTGACGTGTGCCATCACAGGGGAGCGGAGGCCTCCTATACTGTGGAAGAGAAACGATCACTATCTGAACTCCTTGAACCTGGAAGACATCAACGTAAGAGCCGGCGTCACTCTCTCTGACTGTATAGTTCATAGATGGATAAATGGGTGCATAAGTAGGATAGGTTGATAGGTAGTGGAACAAAGGACACAATAATAGATAGATGGTAGAGGTGCGCTGCATGTGGTAGAGCCATTCAACTATAAATACCACGGTATTTGTTAAAGTTGAATGGCTCTAACACATGCGGCACACAGGTGTGATTAAGGTGTTTTCACATTGTGAAGCATCATCACTTCTTAACGACTGATATAGAGCAAGAGCTGCAAATTTGAAATCATTTCACCCCGTATTTCTTTATCGTCATATTTTTACTTTATTTCTTTTGGCAGCGGCTGGGATTGTCAGCACGTTTTATTTGACGGTTGGCGCTGGCTTTGTGTTTGTAGGTCTGACAGTAATCCAGGATGTCGGTTTGTGCTCATGGTGTCTGTGTTTAGAGACTGCTGGGAGGGACAGGGATTTCAGACAAAGACAGGAGATGAAGGGGGATACCAAAGGGGTTCAGCCCTCGAGGAAGAACCTACTTTTACAACTCGTTGAAAGTCTGTATGTGTGTGTGTGTGTGTGTGTGTGTGTGTGTGTGTGTGTGTGTGTGTGTGTGTGTGTGTTAATCGGCATGCACAGCCCCAGACAGCCCCCTGTGTCACTTCTATCCACATCAAAGGGAGCACTGATACTTATGTGGCGAGGTACAGACAAGCCAGACCTCCTTCGCCCTACCCTTTGCCTCTCTGTGTGTCAGGGTGGACCAAGATGGGTGTGATTCTGCTGTGCATAATTAAGTCAACAGTGTTGCAGTAGATAAAGGGAGACCCAGCGAAGCCACTAATGTATCATTAAATGTTGATGACCCTTAAAATGAGTAAGAGGCGGCCAGCTGTCGCCAGTCATCCTTGGCACCATCAACTGGCTCTAAACTAGTGTGCGGGTTCTAGTTGTTGATGATGTGTGAGCGGCGTCAACGTCATTTTCAGGCAGCTTTCCCACCGTTTGCCTTTTAATGTCATTTTCTATAACATATCAGGACTGCTTTTAAGCAATTTATGACCAGAAAAGATCTATGCAAGTGCAGGGTGTAACAAAAAGAAAGAAATGTCAAGCCAGATTATTTCTTGAAAACGCTTCTGAATATCTTTCGGAGGATTTATAAGAGCAAAAAAAAGAGAGGTGCGAGGTCTTGTAAGGTGAACGACGCAGGCTTTGATCTATCTTGCATTTATTTATTTATTTTTAACAAGAACTCTTGCAGTTCTTTCTCTGTTTTCTGAAGATCCAATAGAGCTTCTGTCTCATCTCCTGATTTTGCCTGAAGACACATAGCAGAGTTCAGTGTCCCGACCAGATGTGGTCTTTGTCTGCGCTTCACACGCAGTCATCAGTTCCCTGGTGACTAATATCAGATCTTGCACAGGTGTATTCTCAATTCAAATGTCAGCTCGGGGATGAAAGCTTCTGCTGCCAAATGCTGTTCAGTATATTCAGTGTACCCAAAAAGTCAATAGCTGGAATAATGAAAGCATGGACCAGCATAGACCTGACATGACCTATTACCTTTTCAAATTGTAGAACATTGCCATCATTTTACATCAAAAGTTTTTTATATATTTTTTCCTCCTGTACTGAGAGAGTGGAAAGAAGAACAAGCTGTGGTGGTAATCAATCAAAGCTTGGCCTTTTGTGGTTTGCAACCATCATACTGCTGGAGACGTCAACATTTGATTTCAGTCCACAAAACCTTGAGTTTTCTATAGCTTGAGTTATTTATTAGAGATCCAACAGAGAAGAAAGGAGGATGCAACAAACACTTTGCATTTGAATTTAACCCCAAACCACTTTGGTACCCTCGGGATCCTTACATTGCCTGTATTTATTGTCGTTGCATAGAATTACACTTCCTCTGTCTCTATGGTGCATGCAGCGTGCTGTGTTGATGCCAGTTCAGCTTCATGAAGTGAGTCTGCGTTAAACAACTGCCGGGACTAATCTGTCTCTTCAGACTGAGAGAGCGCGTTGTATTTTGACCCCGGAGGTGTGCCATTGTCAGATTACATTTTTTTGTTGGTATCCAACAAAGCCTGAGTTTAAAACCTCTGCAAGTGCACAGATTCTCTCCAAAACATCGAACTCCACCAGCGAGTGAATCAGCATGTGACTCTGGTGGCTCATCAGAAAACTGTGTGCAAGCCACCACAGCACCAAGAGAAAGCACCAACAGAACATTAGCAGCACACCATCGCCGGCTTAATCCCGATTTATTTTTGGCTCTCAGACTTCCAGTCAATCATTGTTGGCCCTTCCAGAGAGGAGAATGGATTTCATCTGCACCTGTTATCCACAGACTAATTCTAAATTGCCTTGCAGACAATTTCTGCATAATTGCAGGCTGTTAATATTTGTGAGCATCCACTGCCAGCCTTAATTAGAGTCATATTCCTGTGAGTACACATGCAGTTTATGCGGTATAATCCTGCAGGCCTTCCCAGTTTAGAATTTGGTTATTTGAAAAATGTTGTCGACTGACTGAATCGCACATTAATCCCAGTGGTGCGCTTGTATCCCGGAGTTCAATAGAGCTTCTCTAAATTTTGACAAAGCAGCTTACTGTAATTCCATGAAGTTGACAGTTGCTGGCTATTGCATCATCATCCAAGGCTGTCAGTATTTCAATCCTCCCTGAGTGGCCGAGCAAAAGACATAGTCACGTTATGTCGTGTGCGTGTATGTACCTTCATATTTGTGTTTGGGGATGCCGATTCTGTGGTGGAACTAGTTCGGAAGAACTTTGATATTTTGTAAGTCTTTAAAAGTTTGTAAATCCAACAAAGTGCATTTTGTAGAAAGATTGTGAAGTTTGTTTAAAGCTTACTTTTAGCAGGATTATATATCCAACTTCTAAGAAGTTTGTTGCTGTTGTTGAATCGTCTGAACCACACACGTGCACTTATCCTTACTCATTAGATCTATATCATGCGAATCATTCCGGACCACAACACCAGCAATGCTGTCACCTGTATTAAAATCTATTTGCTGTGCTTTTATTGAACTTAACTTCTTAATGTTTGACCTCTGTTTTACTCCCCAACAGATCCCGTCCCAGGTAGGGTGTTTTTTTTTTGTTTTTTTTATCTCAACTAACTGGCATTGCTTCACTCTTTTTTTTTTTAAATTTCCATTCACAAAAAGCCCACAAAGCTACTGAGGCGCTTACAGCAGATGCATGATGCTGTTTTCAGAAATGCACATCAAATAAGTTGAACATTATGGGTTTTTTTTCCAGCAACTCCACCATTCTCATCCAAAACAAATATGGTGAAATTGAAAGATAAAGGATGAGGCTGGCGACATATATTAGTGTATTTCTGTTACTGTCAACCAATCCTGTGAAAAAGCCAAAGCCAACCACTTGTTTGTCCATCTCTCAGTGATTTGACTTCCCCAGCTGGTCTGTGGCTCTTAAGCACTCGTATGCACTTTGAAAACTGAAACCTTCAAATACAGGTGGCACCAAATTCAAATTAATTTAAAAAAGGCTTAATAATCTCCCAAACAGGTGGGCAAAATAAACAACAGTGGCTTTGCTCACGAAGGAACACGCCACCCAGTGCAACAGTGTAGCTCATTTATGTAAATAGAATTGTCTTTGTGATGCTCACAGCATCGAATAAAATAAATTCAACAGCAACATCTCTTTCCAGAAACTGCCCTCATTACTCTGAGTGATAAGTAAACACTATCAACAAGTTTTGCTGGAGGTTTCTTTGGTGAAAAGTGATTCCAGCAGAAACTGTTGACAGTGAGGGGTGTGCATGATGCATGCGGAGTAATGGAAACATTGTTTCTCGGAAAACACATGCTGCTGAATCTTTTTTAAATGTCGTTTCTCAAAGCGCGGAGCACCATGAATACGATTGCGTTCAACTTCATTATACTGAGGTGGAGGCTGAAATGTTAGCATTCTAAATATCAAAACATTGGCTCACAAATCTGAAACGATATGTGTGGTTAAACACCAGAGACAAGTGAGAAAATTCGAGTGAACCTGCACTTAAATGTCAAACTACCCCCCATTCTTTAGTGGCGTTGCCTCAATATACTTTTATTCCGGCTAAATATGTTTCTCTCGCTCTCACACCTCAGGGTATTTTCAGTCAACTGATTGTGTTCCTCTCACAAAGTTTCATGAGGCCAACTTCTCCAGAGGCCGATTTCTGAAACGCCTCGTCACTAGTAGAGGTTAGCTATCCGACGAGGTGGCTTTTTATTGTCCTTTCAGAGGACGACATGGCACTGACAGCTTTATTAATTACAGTTTCTTGAGGGCCATGGCCTATTTGTAAATCCACCTCTACCCGCCCTTGTCACCCTTCTCTCTGAGTCGTCGAACACCGGCCTGCTTTGTCTGCAGAGAGCTGAGTGCTGGGTGCTGCTGAGAGCTGAGGTGAGGGTGGCGAGATGAGGTGCAGGAATCATGTCGACAGCCTCCGCCGTGGCTCGTTCCACCCCTCTGAGTTTCATTTCTCCCCCCATTCATTTTTCATTTAAGAAGGTGACACAATATGCTCTCAGCCCAAGGGGCCAAAACGCACCATCGATTTCCCCTCATATTGTGAAGCTCTGATGCTTCACTCAGCTGGAGCCGTTACCGGGCTCGTGAGTTAGATCGGAGCACACCGGGACGAACTGATAAACACACCGTGTGCCTGTAAACACCATGGCTGACTCTCCTCGCTTGTCTGCAGACATCTAAGGAGAAGCTAAATGCCAAGATGTAAACAGCCAGCAGAGATGTGATCAACATGTTAAAAGCTATTTCATTAGAAAAAGGCACCTTTCTTGGTTTGAACTCTTCTGAAAGAAGACCATTAATTAGGGCCGAGTCTTTTCATGAAATGAATGCTGTGTTCAGTTGTGAGCCACGAGGAGCATGGGGGCAGAATTTTAGACATTCTTAAGAACAAAGTTCACACCACTAAAAGATATCTGCATGTTTTTTTAATGCGTGGCAGCAATCGGGGACGAACACGTTTCAGCACTTGGCCTTCATTGAGTTAGTGGGCACTGAAGAAGACTCTAAGGAAGGCTGCTGGAGCACGTTCATTTCTGAAAAAGCCGCGGTGCATTGGAAAGAGGTGAAAAGCTTTTATTGTGAACACAGGCGGAGATTTTGCTCGTACGTTATCCCTGAAGATGTATAATCACTTGATTTAGTTCATGTGTTATCTTTGAGAATTTATGAAAAAACGCTTTTTCTTAGCAATATATTACTCTGCAAATGTGTATATGGTTTTAAATCAGTCAATTCTATTTCTGTGAACACCTCAATGTCTCCGTGAGCAATTCAGATTTGACATTACTAACAATCCAAAGCACTATAAACATCTATAAACAGGGATGACATTGGTCAAAATGAAGTGAAAACAGCTTAAGACATCTCTTGAATAATTTTGAGTCAGAGGAAATTGTATAAATAGCTTTTCATCTTAATCTTGTGAGTAGGAATAAAATATATACATTTTTCCTTTTAACAGAACAGGAAAGGTTGATTGCACAGTAACACTCTACATATGATCCAAAAACTAATTATGATGACTTTCCATTGCCAAGATGGCATTTTACTACAGTGTGATCTTAAAACTGGCACATATTTACACTTTGCCAAACAAATTCATCACACTGGCGCACCGTCACTGGGCTCATTAGCTTTGGGGGCTTCTGTCTGTGCTACAGCTGAATAACTAATTCTTCTGTTTGCTCTCTTTTCTTGTCCAGCACCATTTTCTTTGTGTTCAGTTGCTTAATCCTTGTGCCTCAATAGGGACACTTTTTGGCTTTTTACTTTCATATTTTTGATCATGTTGGCTGTGTTACTGCCTATGGCAGACATTTTGATAAAGCTGTGAAGGGAAATTCAACCTCAGCTCGTATAACAAGTCCATAATAAACTGTGCAGCCAAAATATGGACACTCAAATCGTTCCCATTAAAACCGCAATGTTTGATCCCACGCCCATTACATCACAAAATGATGCATTCAATTATATCAGGCTTTCAGAGGCATCGCTGCCCATTATCTCTTGTATTTAATGAAATCTATCAAAATCAATGTTGTTGCTAATCATTGACACATTCTGTATTATTATTATATATTTTCAGACTGAAAAGAACTGATGCAAAAATAATGCCTGTAAATATTTCACCCTCAATTATGTCTAATTTTAAGCTTAATTTGAACGGGTGAGTTATGAGTTATAGTTAGAAAGAGGACATTTTTGTTGCCATTTCTTTTTTCTAAATATGACATTTTGTTATTGTTGCTAATCATTGAAATGTCCCCTGTGAACAAAGCCCCTCCGGCATTAACAAAAAATAATTACATTTTGGTGTTTTTTTTCCTCATAAAGCAGTTATGTAAACATACAAAACAAAAAGGTTATGATCTGGTATGAAGTAAGTAAGAAAGCGAAAAATAATAAGACTTTTATTGCAGTTTTTTGACACAGATAGTCTTGTCCTCTAAGGACATAAGAGCAACTTTTTCAATGTGAGGCACAAGGGTTAATAATCACAACACAGCATGAACAAATCATGTTTTAGTTGGCTCTTCATTAGTTCACAAATGGTAACTGAAGTGCAACACGTTTTGTGTAGTTGTGGGACATGCATGTTGTCCTTTTCAGGGACAATGACGTTGTACATGAGTAATGGAAGTTATTCTGATTGACTGTATGTCGGCGGCGCTGTATTGCCCTGTTTTTGTTTTGAAAGCAGCTAACGCTGTGTAATTTATATGCTAATCAATTATAGCCTCAGTCCTTTTTCATCAGATCACTTTCCTCTGATTGGAAAAATGACACGTACCAGAAAACAATTTTTCTTAACTGTGACTTTGACTTTTTCCTCATTCGTTTTTTCTGTGGCACAAAATGGCTTTAACTTCTGACTTAGATTGATGGACATTGCTCTAAAATGTGTCTTTTTGAACGATGGTAAAAACTCTCATTGCCTGTGCTATGGAACGTGTTTATCTTGTCATCTGCACACTGCAGGCTTGTTGCATTCATATTGAAGCCATTCATTTCCAGCTTCAAATGCCTTCTAACATCACTGTTGCAAAGAGACCGCCAGTTCTTTCTGTGAGTCATGAAGACCCTTTTCTCTCCTCTTTCTCCCGCTGGTAGGACTTTGGAGATGATGGCTCACTGTACATCACCAAGGTGACCACAACCCACATGGGAAACTACACTTGTCAGGCTGATGGCTACGAGAAACTTTTTCAGACCCACACTCTTCAAGTGAATGGTAAGAGACTAACACAGAGATTGAACGCACTTTTTTGTTCATGAATTCACCATTTGCTGTTCAGTGCAAACCACTAACGATCAACTCTTTTCACTGCATTTTTTTGTCTGCTACAACACATGTGCTCGGTAAATCACTTGTCCTTTGTTTAAAGGGAAAACAAATCAGAAACCACAAATATACCTTTTGGTTTTATCCCCTTGTTTTGCATTAGTTTGATGTAATACCACTCTGCTATCCGTCTATGTAGATGGAGACCATGTTTAGATACAGCCAATCCAATCTTGCATGTAGCAGAAACGTCAGTGTTCTATCGTTGGCAGAGCAGACGGTTACACTGAGCCAGACAGCAGCCTGCTACAAAACACTTTGAACTTTGAACAACCATATTAGCTTTCCTGCTAAAGTCTCCGTCTTATCTGATTTACAAACAGGAAGACAGCATGTCTCTCATTCCCTACGGTGTAACACGCTGACTGCCAGCTCTGCTGTTCACTAAACAAGACCCAGACGAGACCCTTCAGCCCAAAAAGAGCATTTCAGAGATTTCCCTACAGACCATCAGCCACTATATGGCTCGCAGATGGGAGATTTAGATTCTTGCTCAACTTAAAGACAGCTAGTTTTACTTTTGTACTTTTTACTTTGTTGTGCTGGTGAAGTGGTATGGTATGGTGGTATCATAGTCTCTTGTCCTTGATCAAAGGCATTTGTTCAAACAGCTCTTATCTTTGAGAGAAGTCTTGAAGTCAAACAGATTTGCCTCAATGTGACATCTTTTTACTTAGATTTTCTGTTTATTAAGTGTGACTCGCACTCTTTTCTTTGTCTGATGGCTCAAGCTTTGAACACAGTTCTGCTTCCAAATGAATCATTGTTGGTGATTCTTGTCATTTTAAACACATCACTGTACATTCACACATGTTTAAAATAGGAAGCATCTCCTGGCGCTATACGGATGCAGCAAATTAGAGTCAGTGAAAAAACATATTGTGTTATTATTCCTGGGACACAAAGGTCCTTTCCTAAAGGGTCCCTCCCCAGCAGTACTTCAAAGCAGAGTGTCTCTGTGAATAGCTGTGGATGGCACTCCTTATTAATGAAGACACAAGGATGCGCAGGGAGCAGTCTTGCCATGAGCTGGTTTGGTGTCTTTTAAGCCACTTCTACAAAAGCATAATATCCCACAAAATAATATTACTACTATAAAATCAAACGCATGATTATATGACAAGTGTTTGTCAGGAACTCAATTATTGTTACATACCACATGCGTACTTGCTTTTCAGGGTAGTGAAGTATTGTGAAGGTACGGGCACTCTCCAGTGTCCTGGCACAGGTAATACTGCTAGAATAATTAGTTGTTGGGTCTAGCCGATTTAATTACCACTGAGCCGTATGGCTGTACCAGCTTCTAACAGACAATAGCTTACAAATAAAGGACGGGGGCCTTAACCTAACCTGAGATCCAGGTGAGTTTGGCTAGCTTCCCGCCATCGCTCCACTCCTTCCCGGCCGTGCCTCACACCCGACTGTGTGACTGCCAGCTCGCAGAATACTTCACAGTGAGGGTTATCAGTCATTGTCCATCATTGTTTCTAAAAGAAAACAGTTGTGCTTGCAGCAGCACGCCACTCTGCTCTGCTCTCACTCACTCTTCACTTGGCGTCTGCCCTCTGACGGGCTCATATTACGTAAGACCTGGCATCTTAGGACTGACAACCAATCAGAAATAACAAATAACAATCTCTGACAGTGACACCGGCAGCCGTGTCTGTCAATATATTCACTTTAATTTAAGCCCAAAAGACTGTTGAATATAAAAATAATATCAACCATTGTTGAACCAATAGCAACAGTGATATCTTGATGCAACTTGTTTTCGGAAACAGAGAAGTCATTACACTGGCTCTGTACCACTGCCTTATTTCCTACAAGATTACTCTACCAGACTAAAAACTGCAACGCTGTTCTCACACGTTGCTTAATTAAAGTGTAGTCGCTCTGCTCAATATTTATTTGTCACCCACATTGGACCCATAACATCTCATCTATTTCACTCAAGGCCTGTACTTTAAGTTAGTCTTGATACCTGTTATCTGGGAAAAGTTTTGTTTTCCACTTCCTGCTAATGAATTAGAGCTAGTCATCAGTATGGTGAACCTGTATGGAGAGGGCGAAGGTGTATTGAGGATTGAGTTTGTGTGAATGAGCCTGTTTTCTGGTCCTAATGAGTTGAATGTGAATAAACCACATTGTGTCGATGTCGATAGCTCCCCATCTTCATTACAGTTCATTATCATTCTTCCAAAAGATTACCCCGAGGTTAATTGCAATGATCTACAGGTCTTATTAAACTAAGTATTGTGTTTACAGAAACAGGGCGAATCTCATGAGACATGTGAATTTTGGTCGTAATTGATAGCGAAACTTCCAGATGACCTTTTCTACTGCAGACTATAAATTTCAAATTCATAGTCTGGGTGAAGTCTCCAAGGACCAGCATATCACCCTGCCATGACTACTGACAATTTCTAAAACTCAATTAAGAAACAGCTGAAAGAGTAATTCTGGGAAACTGGATTCGGAGTGCTGTCCATCACTGGGAGGCCACATGAGAATGACAAGAGATAGAATATTCTGACTTTTATTCAGAAGAGTAGATGGAATTTAGACTGGAGATTCTTTTAGGGAAACTTTTCATTTCCCTGAGAGATTTCTCTACTGTACGCTTGTGAATGGAGGATCATTCAGCAGTTTTGGGCTTTCTTTCTCACACACACACACACACACACATTTTATTGTCAGTCAGCCTCCTTGTATTGTCTGCCTCTTGTTGATGAAGACACTGCAATGCTTTCTGCGTTTTGGACTATTATCCTTGAGATGTACATTTTGTTCTGATTATTCATTATCTGCGGTATGCTTTGTCTGCTCTTGTTTTGTTTGTTTAATCTATAGCCCTTTCTTTGTTGCAGTGACCCCACTTTACCCACAGGAATCAATAAAGTTGCATCTAATTTGTAGTGTGGCTGCAAAGTTTGTCCACTCTCCCAACCACTTTAGCAGAAAACAAATTGTTTTTTGGGGGGTAAATTAATGAAAAGTCGTGGTTGAATCGTCAAATACACCAACCACGTCTGCTGCTGGAAATGTACATTGATTTTTCTAAGGAAGCAGCATTCATTTTGAAAACATAATTTGAAATGTAAGTATTTCTGATGGGTAAAATGCAAGAATATTGGTCCTAATGCTTACGTCTGCCTGGCAGCATCATCTTTCAAAAGGTAGCTCAAGCTGTTTGCAGACATTAATGATGCATAACACATACATTACTGATGCGGTATACATGTGCAGTTATTTGTCATTGTCATTCATTATTGCCCTCTCACTCTTTTTGAGAATGATCTAGCAATACCCTTCTGAGATTTACCACCTTATCTTGGTGGGGGGGTTGTGTGCCTCTGTAACCCTGGCAGTAATGTTGTTAGGGTTAACATTAAGACCTGATGCGCCTGGCGCCCGTGCCTTTACCCATGGGGCCTTGCTGGGAGCTAAATTGAGAATGCCCAGCATGTAAGCCTGCAAAGTTAGCTATATGTGGCAGGATGTGGTGTGCTGATCCCTCGCTGTAAAACTGCCCCTCAGGACCTGAGATGTCATATTTCTAGTGGGAAGAGGCCGAAGTCAGAGGTGGAGCCGTACCAAGTAGATCTACAGTTATTGAGCTCACCTTGACGCACAGCAGAGAACCAGAATCCTTGATCGTGGCTGGACTGTCTCGTTTCCCAGAGTTGCTGAGCTGTTGTAGGAATACTTGCATGTTGGCGGCATCCTGGAACCTTCATGGTTTTGTCAGGGAAGGTTGGGAAACAACAAAGTAACAGATAGAGAAACTCTAAAACTGACTCATCTTTTCAGTAATTTCCATGCAAAAATTGCCAAATATTTTGTGGTTCCAACTTCTCAAATGTGACTCATGGTGTTCAATGAAAGACTTTGTGCTTATAATCTGAGCCGCAGACATATAACGTTAGACATGGAGCTTTCAAGTGGAGCTTTCAAGTGGAGCTTCCAAGTGCGCACCACTTGCAACGATGAACTAAAGCTGTTCTTGATCTAAAAACATACATACGTTTTATATCCGTTATGAAAGAAATCACTTTTATGTAGCAAAAATGTTTCGACATGCCAATTGACTCTTGATTTTCAGAAAAAGACCATATGGTATGGTATATATATATCTATTGCTCATCATTCTTTTAAGAAACATGATCCCTGAATAAGATATAAAATAAAATGCCCAACAAAAAGAAGAAAATGAGTGCACTCTGAAGATGACTCCTCTTTCGTGGTAGAAATAAAAATCATGCAAACATCGTGGTACTCCTTGGAGATCCATTATGCTTCTTAATTCTTGTCCCAGATCTTTTTTTAGAACAGCTCCAGCAGTTTCTGCTTTACGGTTTTACCCTTGAAAAGTACTTTTTCACCGGCTACGTGATGTATGTTTGATTACTCCCACGTGTCTCTAAGAGGCATGAAGCTCTGGTGGGACAGTAATCACAACTGGGAGAGGAGGCTTTCATCATGGCGTGAGCACATTTGTCACGGTGTGTGTGTGTGTATAGTACGTCATGGTGAGTGTTTGTATGTATGTGATAGAGAGGGGACAGGATCATGTGTGTTATTTTTAAGTACGTGTTGGTCACGGTTACCTGGTCAGTTCTCACAATCCAATGGTTATGACCGCCACGTTTGTCGGCAACAGCCGTGTGTTGAATTCGATTAAAGAGTTGGAACAGCTAGTTGGAAATCTCCCAGTACTGTGATGTTGAAGTAGTCTCCTGCCATGGTGTTTGTGTCTGAGTCTGCACGCCTGCTCATCTTCCTGAGCAGCCATGGCCGATGGGAGCCTTGCTGAGTGATTGACGACTGGCTGGGGAGCTTTATGATGGAGCTGTCAGCCCTGCTGTGTCGCATTATCCTGGCAGTGGCTC